TGCTTTTTTTATATCTATAACTTGGTTACTTAATCTTCTTGGTGTTCTCTTGTCAATGGATTGCTTTGCAGTGACACCTACAAAAGTTCCATCTTCTTTTATTGGAACTTCTCCAAATGGATTTTCTACATCTAAGTTAAAGTAGCTTTCTTCTTCTTGTTGCTCAACAAATGTTTCTTCAACAGAACATGCACATAACATATCTTTTTCTTCTTCTTCAACAACTTCTTTATCAGACTCATATCTTTCTTCAATTTTTTTAACATATTCAGCAATTTTTCTTTCTTTTTCTTTATATAACTCATCAATCTTTCTTTGACGTATTTTAGCTATTTCACGACGTTCTTCATCTCCAACAAAACCTTCTTCTGTCGAATGATGTTTCAATACAATCCCATAAGTCTGTGAAAATCTACCATCTTTTAATACATTTTCATTGTATTTAAAAATAATAATCGTTTTAGGGTCATCTCTTTCACTAGCACAAATATCACATTTACAATGAAGGCATTTTAAAATAGTCCAATTTTCATTATTACGTGTTTGAATTAAAAAATTATACTTACTCGTAATCGTTCCATTAATAATTTCTTTAACATTTTCACATTCAAAAGGATTTTTAATGTTTTCTTCATTTCTTATAACAGAAATAGAGACATTTTTACAAGGAGATTCTATTTTTCGAGTAATCATTTTATATTTATTTTGATAAAGTTATTAAGATTCTTTACTTTTCATTAATCTTTAAACAAATAATCATAAATATCTCACGCCAAGACAAGAAAATAACGAAAAAAAAGATTTATTTAAAAGTACAAACAATAATATATTTGTTATTTGGTTTATTGAAGCATGAATAACAAAACAATAAATAATCAAAAAAAAAACAAATTATTTAATAAGATATTTGAAATAATAAAATGAAGAATAAAAGAAGAACATATTAATAATCTTCTTTTTTAATATTCCATTATTTACTCTACTGATGTATTTGACATTATTATCAATTAACAATGTAGGTTTACAACAGTAATGAATAAAACAGTTCTTTTTTGGTTTTTTATTCTAATTATTTTAATAATATTTTTATTATAAAATAAACTATATTCAGGGTTTTTTCATTTTTAAAAAATTAAAAGACAAAATAAAAATTATATCAAATTTATAAACAAAATGTCACTCCCACCATCATTTACTTCACTTCTTAATAGTCAAAAAAAGGTTATCTCAGGTGTTGTTAATGACAATGAAAGCTTATTAAAATATTTCAATTCAATTTCTGAATTTCTTGCTGATTGTAATGTTCCTTCTTATGAAACTTTTGCTTCAATTGAATCTTTTAAGATTGAACCTACAGCACAAAAAGCAAATTCAGTTTTAATCTCATTGTGCTCATTATTTATTGTTACCAGAAAAGTCTTTACAATGAAAGATTTTGTATTATCAAAAGCCCTTAGATTCCCAATGGGTCTTCAATTTGAAGAACTTCAATCATATATGAAGGCTACTGATATTTTAAAAACAGCAGATGAGCCTGTAATTGATTTTTATAATGCATTTATTGGAAACAATGCTGAGGAATTAATTACATGTTATAAAGAAATTAAAGATGTAAATGAAAAATGTACAAAAAGTTATATAAAAGAAGCTATTATTATTCGTATATTCCAAATTCTTGTTGAAAAGAAGAGTATTAACCTAGTTGATATTAAAAAAATGCTTGATTTTGTTCCATGGTTCATTGTTGAAGTTACACTCTTAAAAAGAGCAAGTGATTTAGAGTTTAAAGTTAAGATTGACCTTTCAAGTGGAAAGATTTTTATTGAAAAAGTAGAAGATAAGAAGATAGAAGGATGTGAAATTACAAATGAGATTATTGAATCTGAAAAGACAATTATTAAAAATAAAACAAAAGCATTCAATGAAAAAATAGCTGCAATTGAATATCAACGAGAAAAGAAGAGATTAGAAGAAGAGGCAAGAAGACGAGAAGAAGAAGAAGACGCACGACTTGAAAGAGAATATTTAGAGAAAAAGAAAAGAGAAGAAGAAGAAGAAAAAGCAAGAAAGAAGGAAGAAATGAGAAAAATTAAAGCAGACTCTGCTGCTGAAATGCAAAAATTGTATAGAATTCAAGAAAAGGTTAGAATTAAAGAAGAAAAAGATAAACAAATGAAGAACTTATTTGAAAGATATTTCTATCATGAAAGAGCACGAAGAATGGTTGAAAGAAACTTTACTGATAGAAAAGTTGAAGAAGAGGCTGAAGAGATAAGAGAGATGTATAGATTAGTTTGTGAATCTAAACAAGAAATGAAAAAAGCTGAGCATGAAAGAAAAGTTGCAATGAAAAAGAAATTTACTAATCCAAATGCACTCCAAACTTGGTTAGATTCAATTGGAAAAGGAGAGAGTGAAGAAGAAAAGATGGCTAAAATTGAAAAAGCAAGAAAAGAAAAAGAAGAAGCAGAAAGAATTGCTCGTGAAAAAGCTGAAGAAGAAAGAAAGGCTAAATTACTTGAAGAACAAAGAAAACGTGAAGAAGAAAAGAAGAGACAAGAAGAAGAGGCATTTAAAAGAAATCAAGAAAGAATTGAAAAACAACAATCTTCTGATGAAGTTTATAGACCAAAAATGTTACATAACCTAAAAGAAGATAAGGATGGATGGATGTCAGCTAGAAAAGACCAAAGACCTTCTAATTCTGGTGTTCCTTCCTTTGTAGGAGGCTCTTCAAGAAGCCAACAACAAAGGGGTAATGGTTCTTCAGATACTTATACTCCACCAAGAACTGGAGGAAGTGGTTATAATAATTCAGCATATCAACAAAGACCTGGTGCAAGTTCTTCAGTTGCTTCATTCACATCAAAAAGAAGTAGTGGATATTCTAATTCTGGAGCCTCATTTAATAACAGAGGACCAAGAACTAATGGAGGTTCAAGTTCAGTTGCTTCATTTACTAGTGGCGGGTCAAGAGGTGGTTATAGAAAGCATTAATAATTTACCTATTTTGTGTTATACTTTAAGAGAAATTGTATAAATAAGAAGAAAAAAATATAAAAAGAAAAATAGTAAAAATTTTGAAATAAATTATTACAATCATTCATTGTTTTCGTTGTTTACTAGACCTTGTCATTGAAGAAGAAGTTGATGACTTTTTTGAACGAATATAATTAGCAATAAAATCTCCAACTTCAATAGTAGTTTTTGTTCCACCAATGTCTATAGTGGTAATTTTTTGTAAGATACTAGATTGAATTGCTTCTTCAATTAATACACTTTCTTCACTATACCCAAGAAATTCTAACATCATTGAACTTGCTCTCATAGTTCCTATAGGATCACAAATTCCTTTACCAGCAATATCTAATGCACTTCCATGAACAGGTTCAAATAATGAAGGAAATGTACGTTCTGGGTTAATATTTGCACTAGGAGCAATTCCCATTGAACCAGCAACAGTAACAGTTAAGTCACTTATAATATCACAAAATAAATTACTTCCAACAATAACATCAAACTTACTTGGATTCTTTACTATTTCAGCACTTAAAGCATCCATATAATATTTTTCTGCTGTTACATCAGGATATTCCATTGCAATTGCTTCAAATACACTATCCCATAATACCATTCCAAATTTCATTGCATTTGATTTAGTAGCTAATGTCACATGATTCCTTCGTTTTCTAGATGCTTCAAAAGCATATCGTATCACTCTTTCTAATCCTCTTCTTGAATGAACAGCGCTTTCAATTGCAAATTCCTCAGGAGTTCCACTTTTAAATATTCCACCAATATTTGAATACTCTCCTTCAGAATTTTCTCTTACAACTAAAACATCAATTTCACATTTTTTTAAAGGTGTTGGAATTCCTGGAAAATGTTTTGCTGGACGAAGACATAAAAATTGGTCTAGTTGTTGTCTCATTTGAATTAATGGTTCGAGAGTAACATAATCAGGTAATGTTCTTGGGTCTCCTAATGATCCTAATAAGATAGCATCATATTGTTTGACTTGATCAATATAATCTATTGGAACTACTTTTCCTGTTTTTAAGTAATGTTGAATTCCCCAATCTACATAATCTCTTTGAATAGGAAGGTTAAGGGATTGAAACATTTTTTCAGCTTCATTCATGACTTCAGCACCAATACCGTCTCCAGGAATTACAATGATTTTATGTTGATATGTGACATCTTTCTCACAAGCCATAACACCTTTTATTATTATGTTTTAGTTCTTTTTATTGTTTTTTTATTTTAATTTTTGTAAATGCGTTATATATAACTTAAAATAATATAACAAAAATAAATTTTAGTTATTCTGATACAATTGATGCAGTATAAGTTTGCCAATGAACTGATGGGTCATTAAATACATCAACAGTGCGACTAATACCAGCTTTTGAATAAGCACAATGACTACAAAATGTTTTAGTATCCCATCCTTGTTCAGTTGCTACTTGAGGAAGATAAGTACCACGGCAATATCCTTTTTCAACAACAATTCCATGTTTTCCAGCAATAACATTTTGTAAAGGATTTGTTATATCTTTTGGTACAGACAAACAACTAACGCTAATTGTTGTTTGGTCAAATTCATTAATTTTCATTCTATTAAACCTACGATCATTACATGAAGCAATAGCATATTGTTGAACTAATTCATAAAGTGGTCTTGATGGACTAAAACAACCAATACATCCTCTTAATTCATTTTTGATTTTATAAGTAACAAAAACACCACCAGGGACAAATGACAATCCAGATTTATTTCCAATAGAACTATAGTCTTGTTGTTTCATTCTCATAATTTCATTTCTTCCACTTTCTCTTGCAATTTGTAAGATAATTTTCTTTTGTTCAGAGCTAAATTTAATATCACTCATTGATGATTTTAAGATAAAATGAAAAGTTCAGATAATTTTTAAAATAAAAAAATTATTGTTGTATATAACTATAATTATTAATGTAGGAAAAAAAAATACGTCTCAACAAAAAACTCAAAACTTTTGTCACATAGTGAAATATAAATAGCGTAGGGTTGAATGGAACATTTAAAAAAGAAAAAGAGATGTCATTAAGTGATAAACATGTTTTATTTTGTTTAGGTGGACCAGGAGCTGGAAAAGGAACACAATGTCAAAAAATTATAAATAAATATCCAATTACTCATTTAAGTGCAGGTGATTTGTTAAGAGCGGAGGTTAAACGGGAAGGTTCTCAAAATGGACAATTAATTCAAACATTAATTAAAGAAGGAAAAATAGTTCCTGCAGCAGTTACTGTTGAATTATTACTTAATGCTATTCGTAATGATGAACATAAAGTTTTTATTATTGATGGATTTCCCAGAAATGCTGAAAATAAAGAAGCATGGTTCTTACAAGCTAATAAAGTTAATATTGATACTGCCCTTTGTGTATTTATTGATGTTTCTGAAGAGACAATGATTAATAGAATTCATAAAAGATCAGTTAATAGTGGAAGAGTTGATGATAATGATGATTCATTAATGAAAAGATTTAGAACTTATAAATCAGAAACACTTCCTGTGATTGAATCTTTTGAAAATGAAAATAAATTACTTAGAGTTTCTGGAGAAGGTAGTGTAGATGATATTTTTAACAAGATTGATTCTTCTTTAGCTAAATTCTTTGCTGATAATCATATCTTGTTGTGAACGGATTTGATGATTCAATATCATTCTTAATTAAATCTTCTAATTAATTTGTTCATAAAATAAATTTTTTGTATCAATTGATATATTTGTATTATTTCTTTTTGTTCTATTTATAAAGGTATTTTTTGTTTATTTTTTTGTCTTAATTATATTATTAAAATTTTTAATTTATTATTTTATAAAAGAATTATAATTATTTAAAGAAAAAGAAAAACAAAAAATTAATTATGAAACTTAATTTGAATGGATGTGTCAAAAATAGATTAGTGTCTTTTCATAAAAAAAAATTATAAAAAATTCTATCTCTGAAGAACTAAGATTTTAAATGAATGAAGATATGTCATATTTAACGAAAGAAGAGTCAACAACAGAAGATGGATGTGCACTGAGATATTTTAATTATTTATATGAATTGTTAGTGTCTATTTTTTTTCCACAACAACAATTAAAAAAAGTAAATAAACAATTGTCTGTATTTTTTGAAGATGAAGATAATGAGTTGATTTCAAATAAAGTTTGTGTTGATGGGTTTTTAGGTAAATTCAATGAAACTCAATTGCAACGTTTGTTTATTTTGTATAATTTGGAAAAGAATCTAAAAGATACAAACTAAATAGATGAATTGTTAGATTATCGTTTTGGACCAGAATCAACTTTTTGTGGTAAGTCTTTCAAAGAGATATTTAAAGAGAAAGGTTTTAATAATTTAAAAATTGTTTTTGATACAGAAGATTATTATATTCATAGAGTTTGTGATTCAATCTTTTCAGTTATCATTACTCTAATTTTTAAATCTTACAAATAAAGACAGAGTAACTTATTAATAGTGTCAAGTATATAATGAAAGTATTGATATGCAACATTTGTTAATTCAATTATTCATTCGTTGTGATCATACATTATTTATTTGGTCTTCTAAATCTTTTAGTAATTCAATATTTCAAGAACAATTAGTAAAAGGAAATGAATTTATCAAAAATCATTTTAAACACCCAAATCTTAATGTCACTATTGTTGAATGGCTTCGAGTACAAGACTATCGTCATTATTGTAAAAATAAAATGTTGTTACCTTCTCAATTACATACTGGGCTTGGGTTAACAAGAGAAATACATTATTGTGTTCAACATTATGCTAAACAGTCTCAACGTGATGGTATTTCTAATACTCCAGAACAATGGCATAATGCTCTTCAGTACCTTCGGTTAAATCCACCATTTAAATTTTTAAATCCTGCATATGAAGGAATATTTTTATCAATTAATGAAGCAGTAAAAAATGATATTAAAGAAAAAGGTTTTGCAGAAGTAGTTTGGGCATTGACGTCAAAATGTTTAAAACGAAAAGACAATGGAGAACGATTTGAATGGTTAAAAATGGAACAAATATCACCGATGAGTCAAGAACTTAAAATGTATTTTAATTCAAATGAATATAATGCTCTTGTGAATGAAAATTATCATCCAGAAAATCTTTTTATTGATTGGGACTTATTTTATCCAGTTCATAATGATTAACTAAATTTAAGGTATATTTTAATTATAATTAAACTATAATTTATATTTTGTTAAAATCATTTTTAGTGGTTTGATTTTTTTGGATAAAAAAAGAGAAATAACTCAATAATTTCATAATACGCACTAATGAAAAAAATTGATTACAATGAAATAGAAAGATATTATAAAGAATTTCTTGAAACACCAACACAAAAGTTAACAGAAGAAATGAAAAAAGAAATGTTTTCAAGTATTAAAAATGTAAAAAGAGAAGAAGGAAAAGAGAAGAATAAATTTACATATATTATAACACAAACAGAAAGTTTTATAAGTGCTTCAATAAGTTATGTTGATAATATGTTTGATAAACACAGATATTTTCTTGGATTTTATAGATGTTCAGATGATCCAATTCAAGTAATGAAAGGAGTTTTAAATAAATTTAAAATTCCACAAGAAAATCAATCAGTTGTAATTGTTGATCAACAAAATTTAGAAAAATATCCAACAACAAAAGATAAATCAAAAGGAGAAGTAATAATTACTTGGTATTCTATGTATCAAAATATTTTAAAACAAAAATTAAGAATTAATTTAAAACAATTAGACTTTACTGATATTACTGAAACAAATTTAAATGATAATGTAGATGATTTCTTTAATTATATTTCTTTATTAAAAAATGTTGAAGGAGATTTATTTCATGTTAGTAAATTAACTACTTGTAATCAATTTGAAAAAAAAGCTGGAGTATTAAGAAATAATATTAGACATCAACTGTTATCAAATAATATTACTTGGATTAATAAAGCTTTATTTTTTCATCCTGAACATCATCATTGGTTAAAAATTAATTTCCCAAAAGCTTTTGATAATATTATTAAGGAATATGATTTAGATAAAAATGAAATTAATTTATATCTTCGTGATAATGACCCTTTTAAAAGTTGGACATTATGGTGGAAAGAAAAAAGAAATACATATCCTTCTTTATCAAATATTGCTAGAGAATTTATTCCTATGGAAGATTTTCTTTTGAGTAATCTCTATCTCGAAAAATATTATCAAATTCATAATCTTTATCATAAATGGTCTGTTGATGGAATCGGTTTTTGTTTATTAAAAAAACAATTCATCAAATTTAAATCTTTTCTTTATCAAAATATTCCTCTTTCAAATGAATTAAAAAGTTATTGCTCTGCTAATGTTCCTCATCCTACTCCAATTCAAATTAATATCCAAAACCAATCAATTGTTCCTAATCAAAATACAATAAAGTTATCTTCTTCTCATGAATCATATACTCCACTTTCTATATCTCATGATTTACCTAATCATCTTACTCAGTCAATTCCTCAAAAACAACAAAAAAATACTTCTATCACTAAAACTACTATCCAACCTATGTCTCTTCTTCAAAATATTCAACAAACACAAATATCTCCACAAATAAATAATAATACATCTCTTCAATTATCTATTCAACAACCATTTTTAAATGAAAAAGAAAAAGATATTACCGTATTTAAAAAACATTCTATGAATATAGACCCAGAAACATCATTAACAGAATTACTACCAAATAATGAAATTGAAATTGATTTATCACTTTCTGAAGAAGATATTAATCCAAAATTACCAAAAACACCCGAAACAATAAAATATTCAGAAGAGAAAAGAAAAAAAACATCAAAAAGAAAAGAAACAAAGAATTGTTTATATAAAGAAGTATTAGAAAAAAGATTACAAGATTTTATTGAGATATATAACAAAACATTAGATGAGATAGTATTAAAAAGAATAAAAGAAGTTAAAAAAGAAATAAAAGACACATATTCAATAATTGATTTAACAAAAGAAATAAATAAAAAAGATGAAATTATAGAAATTGATTAATTTAAAATCATTCAATTTAAAGTTTAATTTCTTCATTGAAATAAATTAAATTTTCATAAAGAATACGTTGTTCAAATTGATTAGAATAATTCTTAGCTTCAGTTTCAAAAACAGAAGAACATTGATTAATTAAAGAAGAATTATTTGGAATAGAAGAAATTAATTCAACTAAAAATTCGATGTAATGAATACCATTAAAAATATTACCAATTTTAGTTAAAATCCATTCAATAACAATTTCTTTTGAAATGATTTCAAAATAAATTAAACGTTTAATCATTATAATTGATTCTAAAGGAATATTTAAATTCATTTCATGTAATAAATTTAACCAAATAAATATTGCATCTTTTGAATTCATTAAATCTTTAATACTTTGTTTATAAGTTTGAATACAACCATCAAATGAAGAAACAGTATCAGTAAAATTACTTAATATTACTTTAGCAAGTAATTCATTAGAAATATCAACATCACCAAAAGTACTAGATAATTTAGAATTAATATCACCAATTAAAGTTTTATTTTTCATTTCATCAATTAAAGTTTCAAATAAAGATCTATCGATATTATCTATATTAATTTCATTTTGACCATTAATATTAAGATATTTTCTTAAATTAGTTGAAATCATATCGCTTTCAATATCTCTTGTTCCATAAATTGTTAAATCATTAAAAAAAATTGTAAAGAAATATTTACACATTATTCCTTCTTTTATTTTATTTTCATATTTTTTCCATAATGGTTCAGTAAATCTAAAATTCATTGAAATATATTTATTTGATAAATAATGTGCAAATCTATTTATTGTTGTTATTGGTAATTCTTCTATTTCTTCAAATAATTTTATTTCAATTTGTGTTACTGGTGCAAATGTTTTGTCAATGAATAATAACATTCTACTAAATGTTGAATTTAATACTCTCCAATTTGGTACTATTCCTAATAAATATTGAACAAAAAGAATATTACTAAATAATGTAAAATCAATTTGTTGAGTTGAAATTAATTGAACATACATTAATAATAATGATGGATCATTATAAAATGTTTGAATTACATCAGTCATAAATTCAATTGTTATCATTTTACTAAAATTATTTTCCATTGTTGTTGGAATAATTTCTTCAAATGAAATATACATTGGTTTTAATTTAATATTTTCATTTAATATAATTGTATATTTTTCTGCTTCTTCATTTAATTTTTCATATTTTGAATAATCAAATAAAATTTCATTATATTTTCCTTCAACATCTTTTTTCCATTCATCTAAATATATTTTTAAGAAATCATTAGAATTAAAGATTTTTTTTATTAAATATGTTTTTTCATTTTTATTTAATTGAATATATAAATATACTTTTTCCATTATTGAATTACATAAATTTTTGTTTTTTAATACAATACAACTTCCACAAATAACATGTGCAATCTGATCCTTATCATATGTCCTTTCATTTCCTTCAAGATTGTTTAGTAATGTTTTATAAATAGATTCTATAAATTCTTCTGCAAATATTTTCATATTATAACATTCACAAATAAATTTTATTATATTCTTAAATTCAATAACATCAGTTTCTTCTTCACTTAATATTTTTATTTCTGTTATTATTTTATTTATTATTTTCTTTGATAATTGTTTTAATGGTTCAATTTTTGTTAATAAAAACAATAAATATGCATACATTCCTTGTTTTGTTGATAATAACTTAGAACATTCTATAAACTTTCTTGCATAACTCTCTTCTTGTTCTTCTGTTGTTATATCTGTTGGTAATTGTTTTGCATATGATCTAATATTTTCAATATTACTTTCTAATGTAATGTCTTTTATAATCCAAGCTGTTGGTGCATTTGAGTCGGATGTATATTCAAGACTATAATGACATAATCGAACCAATCGATCTTCATTTGTCATATGAACCGTTTTATATGAACTATGTTTTCTTGATGTATGTCGTTCTCTTAACATTCTCCTGTAACTGAATTTTTTAGAACTTTTTTCTTTATTTTAAAGGGTTTTTTATTATTTTCTAATGATTTTTTCTTTCTCTTTTATTTTTTTTTTTTTAATTTTGTTATTAAATTAATTAAAATAAATCTATTTTCTAAAAAGAATGAAATTCAATTCGCCCTCCTTGACTTTAATTTCTTTTGTAATTCAGACTCTTCTTCTTGTGGTGGAGGTTCTGTAATACTATTAGATTTACTACCAGTAGACCTTAGTTTAACTGCAAATGGAGAGCCATTAGGTTGTTGATCATTTTGAACTTCAGGTTTTACAGAAGTTTTAGAACCTGCACTACTTCTTAATTTAACTTGGAAAGGTAAAGTATTACTATGACTTGAATCTGATAAATTTTCTTTTGGTTTTTCAGTTGTTTTTGCTCCACTACTTGAACGTAATGGTTTAGCAGGTAAAGAAGGACTAGTAGCTGGTGGGACTGGTGATTTAGAATTATATTTTTTAGAAGGGACAGGTGGTGGAACTTCTTCTTTTTGTTCTATCTTTTGTTTTGTTGAAGAACTAAGTTCATCTTTTTTGTCTTTATGTGAAGAGAATAATCCTTTCTTTTCTTCTTTCTTTTCTTCTTTCTTTTCTTCTTTCTTTTTTTTATCTTTTAACATTCCAAATAGTCCACTCTTACTTTCTTTTTCTTCTTCTTTCTTTTTTGTTGTTGGTTGTTTAGGAGATGATTTTTGTTCAAGAGATGGTTTGGCTTGTTTTCTTTTCTGTAAGTCAGCTAAAGTAACTTGTGGCATTCCCATTCCTCCAATACCAACACCTACTGTTTTTCTTGGTTGAATAATATTATTTGAATTACTTTCTTTGGAATCAACCTTTTCCATTTTAAAAGTATTGTTCTTTTCATCTTTTTCATTTGTTTCAGTTCTCATTTTCTTTTGACGTTCAATTAATTTCTTTGTTGGTGGCTTTCTTCCTCCACGTCCTCTTCCTGGTCTTCTTGCTACACTTGGTTGAACTGAAGCTTCTTCACATAAATCATCAATAGTTTTTGATGGTTGTGATACAACAGCCTCATCAATAGTTGATACTGCAAATTCATCTTCTTCTATACTCTCTTTTATTTGTTCTTCTTTAACTGGTTCTTCTTTAACTGGTTCTTCTTTAACTGATTCTTCTTTAACTGATTCTTCTTTAACTGATTCTTCTTTAACTGATTCTTCTTTAACTGATTCTTCTTTAACTGATTCTTCTTTAACTGATTCTTCTTTAACTGATTCTTCTTTAACTGATTCTTCTTTTATTTGTTCTTCTTTTATTTGTTCTTCTTTTATTTGTTCTTCTTCTATATTCTCTTTAACTGGTTCTTCTTTAACTATCTCTTGAACCACTTCTTCTTTAACTTTTTCTTGAATTGGTTCTTCTGAAGTGCTTTCTTTTGTTTCTTCTTTAATGGGTTCTGCATAATTTTCATCAACTTCTTCTTGGACTTGTTCTTCTTTGATGCTTTGAGTTTGTTCTTCGATAATATTTTCTTGAGGTAACTCTTCTGTAACTGGGTTTGAAATAACCTCTTCTTTTATTATTTCTTGAGGCTCTTGTTCAGTTACTTCTTGAAGGTTTTCTGTATTACCTTCTGCTTCTTTTTGTGTCTCTAAGTAAACTTCTTCTTTTGGTTGTTTTTCTGTTTCAATATTTTCTTCAGTTGCTAAGTTTTGTGAAGGAGTTTCTTCGTAAGTTGGTTTTTCATGAATATCTTCTATTATCAAGTCTGGTTGTTTTGTTTCAGTTATAACTGAACTATCTTGTTGTTCATTTTGTTGCTCTTCTTGGATTGCTTCATCTCTCTGGACATCTTGGTTAATTTCTTCATATTGTTGATTTTCTCCAGTATAATCGTCTGCAGGAGGATCTTCTACGTGATATCTTTTAGTGTTATGGTCATACACATAATAATATCCATCTTCTCCATAATACGATTCTCCATAATACGCGTCTTCATAATAAGCTTCCTCTTCTATAATGTGGGTAGGTTGATCTCCAAATACAGTCATTGACCTATCTCTATTTGAACGGTCAGGAATATCTTCATTAGTTAAACTTGCAGATAATCTTGGTTGCTTACTTTTTCTTGGAGCAGGAACAGGAGGAGGAATAAGCTCTTCAGTAGAAGATTGAGTTGATTGTTCTTGAGGAGTGGTGTCAGTAGGAATTGGTGGTAATGCCTTTTTTCTTTTACCATGAACTTTAGGTGGAAGTGGAGGTAATGGAGCTAGTTCTGGAGGTAAGTCAACTGCTTTAATATAGTTAATAAGTTGATTCTGCCAGTTATCATTAATTTCGGGATTAATATCTCTATTAGTTGCAACACAACTAATTAACTGAGATTGTCCACTTTTTTTATCTTTTTTTCTAGTGATTAATGCATTAAAAGGGGCGGGATAATCTTTAAAATATTGTGAGTATTTTGTCATATCATCATCACTCATATTGTCTTTTAGAATTAATGTTTCTATTGAATCAAAAAATCCAGTTAAAAGGATAACTAAATTTGAAGCGAATTCTTTTTCTACATGTAATTCACAAATAAATAATTTTCCAGATTGAGAAAAAATACAATGATATCCAGGAGGTGTTCTAAGAACATTTGTAATCATAAGATGAAACTTCTCATCAAAGAAAGCTTTATTAATAATATCAATTGGTTTATTTGTTTTTATTTTAATAATTGTAAACATTTGACTTTCCATTTGATCTATCTTTCTAATAAATTCTTTCATATATGGTCTAAACCCATAAACAATTGGGGGTTCATCATCTTTAAAATCATTAGGAGATGTAGTTAAATGTAATTGGTCAATCATATTAAATATTTCAAAATAATTTTTTTTAACGAGTGAAGGCATATTAAGAAGGTCTGTGTATTCTTCAAATCCATTAATAGTCTCTTTATTAATCATTGGTTTTATAATGTCAATTGAATGTTGTTTTTTGCCGTATATAACAAATTCGCTTTGATTATTATTTTCATTTACTAAACAAAAGTGTAAGTCATTTGTTGATGGATGTCTAAATTGAATTGCTAAATAATGAGTAACTAATTGTTGAATATTTGCATCACCAATACATTCAACTTTAGAAGTTAAATAAACGTAATTTTTAAATTCATTTTTAAGATGAGGACCAACAAGTTTAAGTTTTTCGGGATTGCTTTTACATGTTATAAATTGTTTCTTTTCAAATTTGAGTGATCCTCGTGGTAATCCAAGTTTTTCTTCAATGTGTTCTAAAATAGGTTCGTTTTGGAGTAGTACTTGATAAATCGGTTTATCAATCTTGATTGACTCCGTTTTCATTCTGTTTTTTTTTCTTGTCTTTTTTTTTAGTTTAACCACTTTTTTCAGTTTTTCTTGAACTTTTTTATAACTTTCCATCGGTTCTTATATTTTTAGATGATTCTTAAAGCATCTTAGTTTGAACTTCCATTATAAGTCTTTAATCTTTTTAATTCTTTTTCAGTTCTATTTGTTTTGAGGATTTGATGATGAGATTTTTCTTAAAACTCTGTAGATGTAAATTTGGATTTTTTTTATAATTAAAAATAATCTTTGACTTTTTGTATTTGAAACAACTTGAAAAAGAAAATCTGTCTTTTAGTTCAAGTGAAAAGACAAAAAGATTTAAACGAAAATTGTTAGCTATAATGGTTGTCTGTCGTTAGTAATTAAAAATGAAAGAAAAAATGATGAAAGAAACGTGTTATTCATATTCTTGGGACTTAGTCTCTAGTGTTTATCTTCAAAGATATCCAACAACCCCACTTTTTCCAATGCTTTTAAACCATGAAATTAGTCTTATTAGATGGAAAGTAGAAGATGGTTTATTTTATTGTGAAAAAAGATCAACTATGTTCGTTCCTGTTCCTAAAGTTTTACAAAAGGTTTCTAAAGTTGACCATTGTTATATTTATCAGAATTTAGTTATTGATATTCCTCACCAAATTATGAAAGAATCTTCATGGAATAGAGTAGATGCTAAAACATATCATATGTTAGAAAATGCAGTTTGGAGTGGTGATGAAAATGGACATACCCAATTTAGTGTAGACTCAATAATTACTATTTCACCTAAAATTCCAAAACCTGTTGCAAAACCTGTATTAAAAAGAGTTGTTAAAGAGTTTAATAATGGGTATGACCTGGCACGAAAAGTTGACAAGATGATGATTGAAGATTTTGAAGATAAGATTACATCACTTGTTAAATCAATTAGAGAATTTTGTGATCGACAAATGGAACACCAAAACCTTTTTGTTGATTTAGACTTTAGTACATCTTTTGAATATTGCTTTGAATTACCAGAACTCACTGGAAAGTATATTTAAGGTAATTTAACATCAAGTGCTGTTTTATTTTTTACAATTCAAAAATAATTTAAAGTGTTGAATCTTTAAAAAGATAAAAACTAAAAAAAATACAATGTCTGAAAAGAAAAGCAAAAAAGCTTCAAAAACACCACAAGTTATTGATAACACAAACTCAACATTTAACCTGACTTTTGAAAAAAATAAAGAATTTGATTTTAGTGATGATGATGAAAAAGATGATCAATTAGAAGTTGATCCTTCTACTACTGAAATACCCAAAAGAAAAATTAGTATTGTACTAAATGATGCTCCAACTTTAAGGAAAAGCAATACGTCACGTATTTCTACACTTCCACCGTCAAAAACCAGATCTTCTCTTACAGCTAAAAATGATTTTGAAAAAGGTATTGATGCATTTGAATTAGGTGATTATAATAAAGCTGTACAATATTTCTTTGGTTATGCTACAACAACAGAGAAGAAAAAAGAAACTCAACTATGTTTATCTTACCAACTTGCTTGTAATATTATTCACAGAATTATGTCTGCACCAGGAACTATTGATGTTTATTTAGCTAGTATTTTAATTTGTTTACCACTACTTCCTCCTCACCGAAGAGTTGTTTTACGAATAGCAAAAAATATTTTTATTAAAGAGAATATTCAACTCCCAGAGAATTTACGAATATTTAGTGGGATTTCAGAAGAAGTAAATTCATCTCGTCAACCATTAAATGGTATTTGTTGTCATTGTAAAAAAGAAGTTTCATTAATTAGAAGTCAATGTGATTGTGGAAAAGAAAGAATTTTTGATTGTATATCTTTCACTCCAGCTGGTGAAAACCTAGTGAAATGCGAAAAATGTGGGGCTGTCTTTTCACAAGGCGAAAGTTGTGTATTTTGTAAAGGAACTTGTCACCCTCTCAACCTTTAATCACACATTTTTTGGTCTTATTTTGTTGTTTTTGTACAAATTGAAGTAAATAAAAATTAATATGAAACAACCAAAAAGAACTTTAAAAGATTTAATAGATTAATGTCACTTGAAGATCTTTAAAGAAAAGACAATTCTGTCCCAAAAGCAAAAAAGAAGAAAGAAAAAAAAGGAAATAATAGTACGTGTTTACATAAAATGTGAATTGAAAAAATGGAAAAAAAGATTTAAGGAAAAAGATAAGAGAGAAAAAAATAAATAAAAAAAAAAGGAGAATAAAAAAGAAGAAAAAGAAACTGATACAACTGAAAAATCAGATATCAATGTCAAGAGGTAATTACGATCATCTTTTTAAGATTTTAATCATTGGGGAATCTGGTGTAGGAAAGACTGCTATTATGCAAAGGTTCTGTGAGAATACATTTGAGCCAGTATACATTTCAACTGTTGGTGTTGACTTTAAACCAAAAGTAATTAAAGTAGGAAATAAAACTGTCAAAATGCAGTTATGGGATACTGCTGGACAAGATAGATTTAGAAATATTACAGCAAGTTATTATAGAGGTACTCAAGGAGTATTAATTGTTTATGACGTTACTGATCGTGCTTCTTTTGATAAAGTATCATCATGGTTCACTGAAGTTCGTGATCGTACTGAAAATGATCCACCTGTTATTATTTTAGTAGGAAATAAGACTGATCTTATGGACCATGCAGCTGTTAAACAAGAAGCTGTTGAACAATTAGCCAGACAATTAGGTGGTGTTCAAACCTTCACATGCTCTGCTAAAGATGGTTCTGGTATTGATGAAGTTTTCAATGCACTTACTCAAGCCATTATTTCTAAAGTTGGATGTGCTCCTGGAAAGAAGGAAGATCCTAGTGTTGTTCAATTAGGTGGTAAAGGTGGTTCACAACCAGCACAAAAGAGTGAAGGTGGTTGTTGTTAAAATGATTTCTCTTCTTTGAAATACAAAAATTTACTTTTTTATTATCACTAATAAAACTCTTTCGTTTTCTTCTTGAAAAAAATTTAAAAAATCAAATAGAAAGAAATTCTATTAATTTTAAATTATGGCTATTGAGTGTAGTGAAACTATTACACAAACTTTTAAAGGATATTTGTCTGAAGACTGGATGTTTTATTGTTGTAGTGAAGAAATATCTTTATATGACTATAATCCATCAACTCAACAACTAGAATTTGTTGGTGTTTGTGGAAATTTTGTATTTTTAAAAACGTTAGTACAACAACGAATTGCTATTGCAATTAAAGATTCATTACGACCATTACTATTTATTTTCAGAGAAATTGATCCATTGTGTACTCTTCAATTAGAGAGTTATACTATTACTTTTAATAATAATGGAAATTTATTTTCATTAGTATTTATTGACGATGAAATATGTAAACAATGTTTTGCTTGTATTCAAAACCAAGTCACAAAACATTTTAATAAATATTTAAAACGAACACATCTCACCCCAGAAGAAGCTCGAACTAAAGCAATAAAAATTGAAGAAGTTGCTGATAATGCAATGACATTTGGAAGTGATAAAGATAAAATTCAACATTATTTGAATTGTACTTTACCTTATTACTGTCTTCCAAATCCTTTTAAACGATTGGGAGTACCACAAACAGTGTCTTTAGATCAAGCCTTACCACCTGAAATAGTTATTCCTGATCCAAAAGTTGACCAAAGACATGGAATGGGAATTAATCCACCAATTATTCCTATTCTAACTTTGCAAGAAATACGTCATAAAAGTACATGTAGTCCTGATAATTCTTCGGAACAAGATCCTTTCAATTCAGAATCAGCTAGTCCAAGAAAGGTTGGTCGGATGACAGTTTCTGAACTTAAAATAAAAATTGTTAGAGGATCAACATTTGACACAGGTTCTTCTCGAACTTTAAATGGAAATAGTTTATTTCCAAGAATGCCTACATCCCCTAGATCTATCTTGTCTCCACGTTCAAACTCTCAATCTAAAAAATCTCCAGATAATTAATAATTGTTTCTCTTCGTTCTGAAAGAATTTGAAGTATTTTCTTTATTTTTTTTTTCAATTTTTTTATTCTTTAAGTTTTTTGTTGTGAATAAAACCCCTTTTTTTAGATTATAAGAAATGATGAATAGAACCTCGAATTTCACAGAACGAATAAATGAATTTATATTTGTTTGTAATGAATATAATTTATTAGATTGATATGAAATGAAAAGACAAGTCATTTATAAATTAGATGAAATTACAAGAGTTTAAAGATGGCTGTAAAGGAAATGGGTTAACAACAAATGAAATAAATGTTTGTTATATTTCAAGAATAAAAAAGAAAGGAAGAAATAAGTATTGAAAGAATAGAAAATGCATTCAATTATGGCAATACTTGGATTTTATGGAGTGAGTGATGAATACATTTTATCAAAAATAATAGATGACATTGACAATGGGACAGTTTCAGTAGCAAACAAATACCAAATGAATGAAGTTGTAATGATATTAAGATTTCTCAAGAAACAGTCAACTCATTTACCTCAGATTGAATTTAAGAAAATTACATCAAAAGAAGAACGATTTTGGAATATGATTAAAGAAGTTGATTTAAGTAGAATGAATGACCAAGAAAAAGAAGAATATTGTGTTGAATATATTAATGGATTTGGGTTTAGAAATATTCGTGAATGGATAAAGAAAATAAAAACACCATATTATTCATATGCATTTTCTGTAATACAATATATTCTTGTTAAAACAAATCATTATGATAATATATATGAAATATTATACATTTTTAATACACCTGAAAAAGTTCAACATGATACTTTTATTTCATTATTTGAAGAACTATTTGTTACAATAAGAACTCAATGTCACCTTGATTCTTTTATTAAAATTATTGGGTTATGTGTTGATACTCCAAAGTATTTTTCTGGAAAACAAATTGTTTTAATTAATGAAATTTATGATACTTGTCATAAAGTTAAAGGAGTTGTTAATTCAAATGAAACAGAAACATCATTATTTGATGAAAATATATTAATGGAAGTTAAAGAAAGGGCTCAACAACGATATGATGAGATGAAAAGAAACCAAGAGATAGAAAACAAAATAAAAGAAGAACAAAGAAGAAAGAAAAGTCTAGAAGATACAAAACGAAAAAGATCTCATTCTAGACATTCAACAGAAACACAACTTAAGTCATTGTATTTAGAAGATACATCTGAAAGAAATAAAAAAGAAAATTATTATCATAGATTATCTAGTAGAAAATATGAAGAAGAAAAGAAAAAAGTATTTTCATTAGATGATTTACCTGGATTTGGGACAAATGAATTAAGAGTATTTGATGAAAAAAAAGGAAGTAAAGAAACAACACAAAACAAAGAAGTTAGTGGATCATTATTACCTGAATCAAGTGAAGATGAAATGTTTGACATAAAAGATATGAAACATCATCAAAATATTTCAATTTTATTAAAAAGACCTAAAGAAGGTATTAAATATATTCAAGAAGCAATTGAAATTGGAGGTATACAATCATATTCATATGAAAATCAAATGAAAGAGTTAATGATAGAATTTGAAACTCCACAAGACTTACAAATGTTTTTAAGAACAAGAATAATTGGAGGAACAAATTGTAAAACATTTTAAAAAGTTGTTCAAATAATTATATATTATTATTTTAAAACATTAAAATTATTAAATATATTAGTTTTATTAAACAAACTACTTTATAGAAGAAATCTTGGTTAAATATGTAATTTAGATATTAAAAAATGAATGTAAGTATTGTTCATTAATATACTTTATTAGTCATTCTGAAGTAAATAAAAAAAAATTATTCTTCATCAAAAATTTATATATCTCTGTATTAGTTTTAAAAACACTCTTCTTCTTTGTTTATTTATTTTAAGAAATGATAACTAATAAATTAAATTTTTATTAATGAAAATTTATTAATATTTTGTAAATAATCAACTCCTTAATACTTTTAGTTTAAAGTAATTTATTATAATAACATTATTATTATTATTATTATTTTCTTTCATTACAACTACTTTTATGAGAAATTTAT